ACAAAGTCCTCTTTACTCTTGCCTCTGCTCTCCTCAAGCAGAAGGAAGGAGTTTCTCCCAGAGCTGTACTGCTTAGGGTTGGGGGAGGGATGGTGCAAGCACTTTCTTGGCTGCTCCAGCTGGTGTCTCACTAAGTCATATGCACCCCAAGTCTGCTGGCTCTGAGCTCAGTACAGCATCAGTAGAAACTTCCTGGAGTTGTGAACTAGTTTATGACACATAATTTTGTAATTTTAATCCCAAAAGAATTGATATACTGGTTGCTCAGATGCCTACATGTAATAAATAAGGCAACCTGTGAAAGAGATTTGGCATGATGCCTAGAGGAAGACCTAGAGGTAGCGTGACATCCTTCTTCCATTCCATTTTGCAGAAGTCACCACTGAGTGGTGACTAATCTAATGATAAGTGATTCGTGTTTTGCTAAATCAAGAATGCCGGACCACAGAGTAATGCTCTGTCGAGTAGAGCTGAGCAGGGATATGTACTGTCTATGCAGAAAAGCCTGTTTTTTAGGCATTAGACGAATTTATCTTTTTCTGTTAGAGGTGGGGACAAACCTACATCAAATCTTTAGGAATAGACAAAAGGTTGATTATCTAACTTGAAACTTCTCCCTTCTAAAAGCTAGTTCTATATAGTACGCATGAACACAAAGAAGGGAACAGACACAGGGGCCTACTTGAAGGTGGAGGGAGGGAGGAAGGTGAGGATCGAAAAACTACCTATTGGGTACTGTTCTTACTACCTAGGTGACAGATAATCTGTACCTGTGATAATCAAACTCCTGTGACACACAATTTAACTATATAGCAGACCTACACATGCACCCCTTAATATAAAAGTTAAAAAAAATTAAAGCTAGTTCTGATTTAGAGATCTTTGATGTTGAATGTTGATGGAAAGTGATTCTTATTTGTGATTGCTAGTTTCAGAACCACTATGATGAAATAAGTGACTAAACTTTTGGTAGTATGAACACTACCTTAGAAGTATTGTCCAGACTCCAAATTCTGTCTATCATTTCTTCATTTTCATGCCCTCCTGATCCCCTAAAATAATTAGACTTCCCATTTTATGATTGAAAAGGCATTGCAAATATTTTTACAATGAAGTCCTGGAACTTTAGATTATTATCTACCAGAGATATTAGGAAATTTCAAAGCCATCTTTTCTAATCACAAAAGTAAAACATATTCACTGTACCCTGTATGAGTATGTACTCAATTATCTTATTTTAATGTTCTATATACACTTATATTTAGCAGATTTTTTTCTGGTATTGATTTATATACTAATTACTTATTTATTTAAAGAATGGATTACTTAGTTAATATTTTCCTTACATGCATGTAAACTCTATAAGGTCAGAGATCTTTTTGTCAGAGGCTGAAGTTAAAGCCTATTAAGCTAATTAAGAGCATAGACGGTACTCAACAAATATTTGCTGAATGGAATACTTGAATGAATTGTAAATACTTTGGAATGTACAGAAAAGTGAACACAAGAAAACGGAAGCCCTAGAAATAAACCATGTAACATTGAAAATGTACCTGTGTATTTAAATATCCCTGGATATACAGACGTCATTGCTTTGTACAGTAGTGCAAGACTATAAAAATGACTTTGCAAACTGAAATTATGCAAAGCAACCCTAATAATCAATGATAAAAATTATTATTGCTCTTTGACCTTAAAAACATTGTCAAATCACTAAAATCTGTCTTGTTGTTAGCTATAAAGGTATAGGGAAATGAAAAAAGGTAAAACCAATACTCAGTAAGCAGTAATTTAAAACATTAGAAACATTGGTATTAAAGTCATTTCATTGTACAGTCTCATCAGGAGTAGTTTGAATAGTGCTTGCCCTCTTCCTACTATATAACTTATGATATGGAGCCTGCATTTTTTTTCAATGCCTAGGCAAACTGTCATGCTCTCTAAATGTGGATCAGCTTACATTTTATCTCTGTGTTTTCCATGTCAAGAAATGTCTCCTAAAATTCTTTGAATGTGAAGTTTTTAGCCAGTATCATTTCTCTAGGACATCATCATCCTTTCATCACAACCACTTTTCTTGTTTATGTTGATTAATTTGCCTTCACTAAGTTCCTCTGACTGCATATACAGAGTCTCTCAATGGTGAATGGCAGCATCATTAACATTCCATGATTAGCTACGTCTTCTCTATTTATGTTTGATACAAATTTTACTTGCAATGGTATTAATTTTTGTTTCTCTGCTGCGCTTTCATTCTTGCTGGCCAATTCCCTCTTTGTCACATGCATTTATGTTTGGGAGACAAGAAGGCAGCACATCTACACACTTTGCTGTCTGTGTGTGAACCGAATAACAAACATGCAGTGATCCATCACTGACGTATTTTAAAGAAGCACTCTATGATTGGTCAATGATCCTTATGCACGTATGTTAGTTATGTAGTATTTATGGACTGAAGAGTTAGCAGCAAAGTTTGTACTTTATGAAATTACTATTAGTATATCATGTTAACTGAAGTTTGAACTGTATTGTTAGGGACTGGTGTTGTTTAACTAAATTGTGGTAACTAAAATGCACATATATTAGACTAGGCACAGTGAAGACTGCCTCAATTCCTAGCTTTACTTTATAGAAATACATATTTATTCTTTCTTTACTAAAATGAGATCATTTCATGCCTTTTTTTTCTTTTTTCTTTTTGAGATGGAGTCTTGCTCTGTCGTCCAGGCTGGAGTGCAGTGGCATGATCTTGGCTCACTGCAACCTCCGCCTACCAGGTTCAAACAATTCTCCTGCCTCAGTCTTCTGAGTAGCTGGGATTATAGGCATGCACCACCATGTTAGGCTTTTTTTTTGTATTTTTAGTAGAGATGAGGTTTCACGGTATTGGGCAAGCTGGTCTCAAACTCCTGACCTTGTGATCTGCCCGCCTCGGCCTCCTAAAGTGCTGGGACCACAGGCGTGAGCCACCACGCCTGGCTGATTTTTATTTTTTTAATTTAATTTTATGTAGCATACATGTCAAAAAAGGCCGGCTATTTTGACTTCACGTTTTATGATTGCATGGTATTGTGTAGTTGTACCTACACATTATTTAACCAATCTTACTTCATGGATGTTTAGGATTTTTCTGTTTTCTCAGTTATAAACAATGCTAGATTGATCACCTCTGTCACTAAACATTTGAGATAACTCTTATTTATTTAGAATGAATGTATTTTCAGTGGAAGAATTGTTGGTTCACAGGATATATACACTATTTAAAAATTTTCATGTTCTTCCAGAAATTTTCATGTCCTTCAAATATCTCCCTTTAGAGAGATGTTTCCATTAAGGCTCCTACCAATAACATAAATCAAGACATACTGGGTGCATGATTCCCAAACCCTTGCGCATGTTGGGATTATCATTATTTTTTTCATTTTTTGACATTTTATCTTATTTATTTATTTTGAGGATGAAGTCTTGCTCTGTCACCCAGGCTGGAGTGCAGTGGCATAATCTCAGCTCACTACAACCTCTGTCTCCCAGGTTCAATCAATTTTCCTGCCTCAGCCTCCTGAGTAGCTGGGATTACAGGTGCTTGCCACCATGCCAGCTAATTTCTTTTTTTTTTTTTTGGTAGAAATGGGAGTTCATCATATTGGCAAGGCTGGTCTTGAACTCCAGACCTCAGGTGATCCGCCTGCCTCAGCGTCCAAAAGTACTGGGATTATAGGCATGAGTCATGGCACCCAGCCTTTTTTTTTTTCCTTTGAAATTTTAATAGGTAAAACACATTTTATTTTAATGATTAGTTTTGATTTTTAATTAGGTTGAATATTTTTCATGGGTTTATTTGTACTAAATAAATTTTGATCTATAGAATTTTATTCTATCCTTTATTATAAAGTTTTCAGATGGTAGGGATTTTCTGGTTTTATTGGGTTGTTTGTGTACATATATTTCTACAAATTTATATATGCACATGTATGTGCGTGTTTATGTGTGTATCTGTCTATCCATAATAAATATGCTTGTGTATACTTGAACTGCATTCACATGTATTTACTATTGTTGGTTTTATCCAGGGATTTTGAGGAGTATTTGTGGGCCTTAATTTTGTAACATGGCTATCAATTTCCAGCTGCTTCTCTCTCTCTCTCTCTCTCTCTCTCTCTCTTCTTCTTCTTCTTCTTCTTCTTCTTTATTTTTGAAAGGGAGTAACCCATGACCTGGGGGAAATTCTAGTTAATTTTTCGTTACATGATTTTCAGGAGATAGGGTCAAAAGGAGCTAGTAGGGCATTCAATTATGTGCTTGAGTATGTTGGAAAATGTTTCTTTTGTTTCCTCCCCCTCAAGTGTACAATATTTTACTTGGGCTTGTTTTTCAAGTGCATTGACGTGTGACTAAACATTTTTGGGTACTACCATTCTGTAAAGAAGGGGGCTCATCTTGTTAAATATTCCTTCATCAGCTTTGCAGTTAGCCAGTTTTTGGCAGGAGATGAGCTTTAGGCATTGGATGACCTGCGAGGACATGAGCTTTAGGCAGTGGACAGAGGGAGGGTGGGTGGGAGGTGGGGACTTGGGGAAACTTAGGATTGGGGTGCTTTGTTGCCCCTCCCACTGCTGTATGAAAAAGTGATTGGCTCAAGCTGGCTTTTGTCTAATAATTTTGGGTGGGTCATAAGTGGGGAGGGAGGGGGAGTGAGTGGTTGGACCTCAGCTCATCTGAGGGCTAAAGGTTCTTTGTGACACATCACACAGACTTGGAGTGCTGTCCTTCTGGAGAGTGGCGGAGAACTAAGATATACAGTTCAGAACCAAAGGAATAGAGAAGGGCTTTGATTTCTTTTTGGCTTTAGATTGGGGATTTGGGAGGCTCAGCAAGAAAGATGTCCACTGAAAATGTGGAAGGGAAGCCCAGTAACCTTGGGGAGAGAGGAAGAACCCGGAGCTCCACTTTCCTCAGGGTTGTCCAGCCAATGTTTAACCACAGTATTTTCACTTCTGCAGTCTCTCCTGCTGCAGAACGCATCCGATTCATCTTGGGAGAGGAGGATGACAGCCCAGCTCCCCCTCAGCTCTTCACGGAACTGGATGAGCTGCTGGCCGTGGATGGGCAGGAGATGGAGTGGAAGGAAACAGCCAGGTGAGGCATGGCTGACTGTATGCAGCACTGACCCAGGGAAACAAGGGCAGGGCAAGATGCTTTGATCCTGGAGTTCCGTTCTTGAGCCTTAGCACTTTGAATGGCCAATGGGCATGATGTTGGCTGGGATGATAAGGAATAAATAATTCTATTTTTTCTTTCTTTTTTTTTTTACATGAATGCAGGGAACCTCTTATTTCACTATTGGGCCATTATTTCATTGATCCATGTTGCTATAATTTTGGCTTTTATAAGGAATTAGAAATACAGCTCAATTTATATACTATTTAATAGTAAAATATTTTAGGGAGATAATAAACTCATGTACCCAACAATAATAGCCAAGAGATATGTTTCCAAATTGTCCACATGCCAAGATCTCTTGTGAGATTTTGTGAGACTAATTACTCATTCTCTGTCAAGAGGGAGGCTTTGGCTAGGTGCAGTGGCTTGTGCCTGTGATTGCAGAAATTTAGAAGGCTGAGGCAGGTAGATTGCCTGAGCCTAGAGGTTCAAGACGAGCCTGGGCAACAAAATGGGACCCTATCTCTACCAAAAAAAAAAAAAAAAAAAAAAAAAAAAAAGAAAAAATCAGCTGGGTGTCGTGGCACATGACTGGTTCCAGCTACTCAGGAGGCTGAGGTAGAATGCTCCGTTGAACCTGTGAGGTCAAGGCGCCAGTGATCTCTGATCACATTACTGCACTTCAGCCTGGGTGACAGATCGAAACCCTGCCTCAAAAACATAAAATAAAATAAAATAATAAGAAAGAGAGTACTAGAACAATGAGGATTAACACAAAGTTGCTCTTATGGTAGTCCCCCCAGGTTATCCAGAGTTTAGCTTTTTAGGTTTCAGTTACTCACTGTACAGTACAGTAAGACATTTTGAGAGAGTCATCACACTTATATAACTGTTATTATAGTATATTATTATATTTATTCTATTTTATTTTTAGTTATGGTTGTTAGTCTCTTACTGTGCCTAATTTATAAATTAAACTTTATTAGGGATTACATATAGAAAAAAATATACATAGGGTTTAGTACTATCCATGCCTTCAGGCATTCACTGGGGGTCTGGATATTTAAAAGATTACAGGTTTATACTTGAAATACAGTAGTTCCCCTTATTCACAGGGGAACTACTGTATTTCAAGTATAAACCTGTAATCTTTCAAATATCCAGCTGAAAGTAGAAGGTTCTTCTGAGTTTGGAGTTTAGAGGCCCGAGTTTATTTTGACTCTGTTGCCTCTTAGCTACAAGACACTCAGTTTCTTAGAAACTTGGTTTCATTATCAATAAAGAGTGGATAATAATGCCTATTACACACACACACACACACACACACACACACACACACACCCATATATGTATGGTATATAAAACATATGCAAATATAGTATACAATTTATATAATGTTACATATATTCATATACATACACATGTGTACGTTTTTATATGAAAATGCTTTGTAAATTGTCAAGCATTACACAAATGCCTTGGGTTTCATTAATCTCATAACAGAGCTTTTCTTTTATGTACAGATTCAGAGATATACTCCAGGGTAATCACCATCTGTGATATAAGGCAATTATGTAATACAAATACTTTGATTATAATGCAGTTATTGGTCTCTCATTGTCATCATTATGTGCTGATTCCAATGTATTCCACTTTCACAAACAAGATAATGTTAAGATAAACATTTTATAGTCTATAATTTAATTCAAATTGATTCAACTCAACCAATATTATTTGAATGAATAGTTTATGTCAAGCACTGTTTTAGGTACCATGAATATAGCAGTGAGCAAATGAGGCTGTTATGTAGATCCCTGTATCTTATTAAAAAGTTTGAATTAAGTTTAATATAGTATCTTACAATATGAGAATAAGGAAAACCAAATCATTATCCCAGCTTTGAGTGTAAGAAAAGCAAAGCAAAGATAGATGAATGTCTTCTTCTGTGGTTATAGATGGAAAAAGGATTTACGGCTGCTATTTTTTTCTACATAGAGTTAGAAAGAAATTCTAGTCAGAAAGAAAATATTTTTAAAAATCACTTTAACCAATTAGAGCAGATGAGCTATAAAGAAGCAATAAGCCAATAGCCTTTCCCTTTATGGATGAAGATTCTTTGAAGAGTTAAAGGAAGAATTTTTATTTTCTGAGGCATGTTTTAAAATTTCATACCTCATATCACTTGTAATCAAGTCTTTATGAATTTAATTGGATTTTTTTGTAGTTTAGTTACTTAGGCTTATGTTTTATAGGCGTATGGATTTATTTTATTTCCTAAAACTTTAAGTAATGTTTAATGTCTTTAGCCCTTTGGGATTTTTAATACTGGAGAAGCTTCATAAATTAATTTATTTGATAATGGCAGAGAAGTTTTTATTCCTTACCAAGAGTTTCTAGGTAGCTTAGACTTGCAGAAACACCTGCTTTAAAAACTTTTAAAACTGATGGAGAATTTCTTATCTTTCATAACTTAAGCAATAGTCAGAAAAAAAGTAATTTTGTTTTACTCCTGGCTCCAACAGTAGTATTAAGGAAAGAGACCTAACTTTTAAATACTTTATTTTCCATTTACTGGGTAATTCTCTTTCTAACAGATAGCTACAGTGGTTGTGATTGTTTAACTCTTCTGTTTGATAGCTACTTAATATTTTCTTCTTCTAATTAGAAACACTTTCATGGCACATTTCTTCTCCCCACCTCTAATACTTTCTCTTGAAGGTCTTCATTCTTTGCTCTGCTGGGGCTTCTTTCAAGGATACAGCAACTATTTCTTGTTCCCCTCTCTGAGAACCAATAAACTGTATAGAAAAAAAATCCTCTGTTAAGTACAATTTTAGTTCCTAAAACATCCTCCAAAAGAAGGCTTCCAAAGCAAAACTTTTACTAGTGAATCTGTTTCTTTTCCTTCTTTCTGGTAGAAAAATACAGTGAGAATTGTCCTGGTGCAGCCTGAATTAAGTGTTGGGAGATTTTGGTCTAGTCTTGGCTTTGCTGCTCACTAGCTGTTGAACTTTAAGCAAGTCTTATAGTCTTTTTGAGCTTGAATTTCTGTTCTATCAGATGAAGGACATAAGAGTTGCATCTTCGCTAACATTATACATATTTCATAGCTCTAAAATTTCTTTCCTTTGTGTATACTGGTATACTCAGCTATGACTCTAAGAGCTGCTTTGACTTTCTTATTTTCATCTTGAAGTTCTTTGTGAGTTGTTATCATAGAGTAGAATTCAGATGTAGTTTTCTATTTCAGTCAGATGCAGACCATACCTTATTGTACATAATCCCTGGTCCCAGAAAGGTAGAGAGATTATAGTTCATTGTATAGGTAATTCAACATTGAATGATATGAAGTATTTTTACTTAGATTTTTAAAGACTAAGATGGTTTTGAATACTTTACCATCCTTAGAGACGTTATTTCCTTGGGAGCACATGTGCCATTTTGCTGATATAGTCTGTCTTCAACACATCCTACTGCTGGAGAGGAAGAGTGTTAGGAGTGTACTGTGTGTCAAGTTCACACTGTATAGCTTCTCTTTATAGGGTTTACTACAATTACTGTCGATCAATTTATTATATATGGTTTTCATATGGTCTCCCTCATTGCATTAATTTATCTGAAGACACAGACTACCATGTCTGTCTGTTTACTGTTATATTTCTAGTGCCTGGAAGTGTCTGATTCATAATAGGTTCTCAATAAACATTTATTTAATGTGTGATTGGTTGAGAACTAATTGCTTTTGACATAACTGCTCTGAATATAATACTTTCTTAGAAATATTAATTGACCAAATTAAGGTTCTGTATAATTCTTCTCTTTCTGACTAGTAAACAACCTTGGAATGACAGACCCAAGGTACTCAGCAAGCCATTGATAAAGCATAGAAGAGGACCTATGTTTAAAGTTTCAAACTATTTCATTAATATACTGATGACATCTGCATTTATCAAAGCATAGATATAATTCCTTATTTAGTTGGAATGAAATAATTGGACAGCTAATAGGAGACTCAAAATTGGCATGTCTAAAACTGAACTTCAGATCTGGTCTTCCTACAGGTTTCCTCATCTCAGTAAACAGTTCCATTCTTTTAGTTTCTGAGCCAGAAACATTGGAGTCTTCCTAGATTTCTGTCTTTCTCTACACTCAATAACTGACCAACTGGCAAATTCTGTTTTCCCCTAAAGATATTCACATATTCAGAGATCTCACTGTGTCTGACATTCAGTACTGTTACGACTCTACTTCATCCCACCATTTCTCACTGAGATTCCTGCAGATGCCTCCTAATTAGTTGATCTCTTTGCACCTGCTCTTTCTTCTCTTATGAACTGTCTGCCATGATCTCTTTGATTTTTGTCTTCATTTTCATTTCCTCTGCTTCGCTTTGTGTGAGCCTTACCGGCCAGTCACGCTAACCTGTGAGGAATTTTGCACTTGTTCCCTCTGTCTGAAATGTTCTCTTTTCCCAGAACCCCCTGCATGGCCCATTCCCTCATCTCCTTCAGGTCTTTATTCAAATATTACCTGCTTAGTGGTTATCCTGTCTATCATTGAAAGCTTCCTGCAATACTTCCTATCCCTCATCCTTCATTATTTTTGTCCTTAGCACCTGTCATCATTTAGCATATCATATATTTGTTATTATCTCTTCCCAACAGAATTAAAGCTCTGTGAGGGCAGAAATTTTCAGTTGTTTTGGCACACAGTACCTAGTGCCTAAAACTACCTGGCACACAGTTCATGCTCAATAAAGACTCGCTAATAGAATCAATGGATAGAGAAATATAACCTTGATTCTTTTTTTTTTTTTAATTATACTTTAAGTTCTGGGGTACATGTGCAAATCTTGCAGGATTGTTACATAGGTATACACATACCATGGTGGTTTGCTGCCTCCATCCCCTGTCACCTACGTTAGGTATTTCTCCTAATGTTATCCCTCCCCAATCTCCCCAACCCTGCAATCCCTC